CAATCTGAATACGCTGTTTGCTCAGCTTACAGTTACAAATTTTAACATAGTAGAAAATGAACGTGCGGAGCTGCTACTCCAGAGTTTACCAGATTCATATGATCAACTCATCATCAATATAACAAACAACAACATTATCGGTCGTCTATCCTTTGATGATGTTGTTGGAGCAGTTCTTGAAGAAGAATCCAGGCGAAAGAATAAAAAAGATAGACTTGAAAATTCTAAACAGGCAGAAGCATTGACGATGATGAGAGGAAGATCAATGGAACGTGGTTCCAGTGGGAGCCAGAATCATGGTAGATCAAAATCTCAGAGAAAGAAGAACCTTAAATGCTACAACTGTGGCAAGAGAGGGCACGTGAAGAAAGATTGTTGGAACAAGAAGAGTGAAGGAGGGAAGAATATTGAAGCATCAACCTCTCAAGGTTGTGTTGCAAGTACCTCAGATGATGGTAAAATCTTATATAGTGAAGCAGTAAAATCTAGAGTTGGAAGACAACTTCATGAATGTTGGATATTGGATTCAGGTGCAACCTGGCACATGACTCCATGTCGAGACTGGTTTTACAATTATGAACCTATCTCGGGAGGATCCGTGTTCATGGAAAATGATCATGCCCTAGAAATTGCTGGAATTGGTACTGTCAAATTGAAAATGCATGATGGTACTGTTCAAACAATTCAAGGGGTACGACATGTGAAGGGCTTGAAAAAGAATTTATTGTCCGTTGGGCAATTGGATGACCTAAATTGCAAGATCCACATTGAAGGTGGAATCTTGAAAGTGGTTAAAGGCAACTTGGTGGTAATGAAAGCAGAAAAGATCACAACCAATTTATACATGCTTTTGAGAGATACGTTGAAAGAAGCAGATGCATCAGTTGCAATTAGTCAAGAAGAAAAAATAATGATGTGGCATCGTAGACTTGGTCATATGTCAGAACGAGGCCTGAAAATTCTAGCTGAACGTAATCTCTTGCCCGGGCTCAAAATGGTAACCTTACCATTTTGTGAGCATTGTGTGACAAGTAAGCAGCATAAATTGAAGTTTGGCAACGTGACTACAAGAAGCAGACACATACTGGACTTGATTCATTCTGATGTATGGGAATCACCAGAAGTATCTATTGGAGGAGCAAAATATTTTGTATCATTTATTGATGATCACTCAAGGAGATTATGGGTGTACCCAATCAAGAAGAAGTCATATGTGTTTCCAGTGTTCAAGGAATTCAAAGCACTAGTAGAACTTGAAACTAGGAAAAGAATTAAGTGCTTAAGGACAGACAATAGAGAAGAATATGTAGATGGTGATTTTCTGGCATTTTGCAAGCAAGAGGGTATTTCAAGGCAATTCACAGTACCTTATACACCTCAGCAGAATGGTGTAGCAGAGCGGATGAACAGAACTCTTCTAGAAAGAACAAGAGCTATGCTAAGAACAGCAGGAGTGGCTAAATCTTTCTGGGGAGAAGCAGTGAAAACTGCCTGTTATGTAATAAACCGATCACCATCAACAACAATTGGTTTGAAGACACCAATGGAGATATGGAATGGAAAGCCACCTAATTATTCTTCATTACATGTGTTTGGATGTCCTGTGTACGTGATGTACAATTCCCAAGAAAGAACAAAACTGGATCCAAAATCCAGGAAATGTATATTCTTGGGTTATGCTGACAATGTTAAGGGGTATCGCTTGTGGGATCCCACTGCCCGCAAGGTTGTTGTTAGCAGAGATGTAGTCTTTGCAGAAAATGAACTGCAAAAGGAGCAGAAAGATGACAGTATTACCAAAGACACTACTTCAATAGTGATAGAAAGGAAGGCTAAATAAGATGACAACTCTGAAGCAGAAGAAGAGCACGGAGAACAAGAATCAAATGATGCCAATGATGGAGAAACTCAACAAACAAGACGTGAGATAAGGAGACCATCCTGGTACTCAGACTATGTGATGGCAAGCCACGATGCATATTGTCTTCTAACAGATGAAGGAGAACCATCAACCTTTCAAGAGGCTGTGAGCAATTCAGATGCTTCTCTGTGGATGGCAGCAATGCAGGAAGAAATGGAAGCCTTACATAGAAACAAGACATGAAAACTTGTAACACTTCCAAAAGGTCGAAAAGCCATTGGAAACAAATGGGTTTACAAGATCAAACGTGATGGCAATGATCAAGTGGAGCGATATCGTGCAAGACTGGTGATTAAAGGATTTGCTCAGAAAGAAGGCATTGATTTCAATGAAATATTTTCTCCAGTGGTTAGACTTACCACTATCATAATAGTGTTGGCTATGTGTGCTGCGTTTGATTTACATCTTGAACAATTAGATGTAAAGACTGCTTTCCTTCATGGTGAACTTGAAGAGGAAATATATATGCTCCAACCAGAAAGTTTTGAAGAACAAGGAAAGGAAGACTTGGTTTGCAGGTTGACCAAATCTCTGTACGGTTTAAAACAGGCGCCAAGGTGTTGGTACAAGAGATTTGATTCCTTCATTGTTAGCCTCAGATACAACAGACCGAGTTCAAACCATTATACGTATTACAAGAGATTTGGTGATAATGATTTCATCATTTTGTTGTTGTATGTGGATGACATGCTGGTGGTAGGTCCCAGCAAAGATCGAATCCAAGAATTAAAGGCACAATTAGCTAGGAAATTTGATATGAAGGACTTGGGACCAGCAAACAAGATTTTAGGAATGCAAATACACCGAGACAGAAAATATAAGAAGATTTGGCTCTCTCAAAGGAATTATCTTTGTAAAGTCTTGCGGCGCTTCAATATGCAAGACTGTAAGCCAATCTCTATCCCACTTCCTGTCAGTTATAAATTATCCTCAAGTATGTGTCCTAGCAATGAAGCAGAGAGAATGGAAATGTCTCGAGTACCGTATGCATCAGCGGTGGGAAGCCTTATGTATGCCATGATTTGTACTAGACCAGACATTGCACAAGCAGTGGGCGTAGTCAGTAGGTACATGGCAGATCCTGGTAGAGAGCATTGGAATGTTGTAAAGAGGATTTTTAGATACATAAAAGGAACCTCTACTGTTGCATTATGTTTTGAAGGATCAGAATTTATTGTGAAAGGCTATGTTGATTCAGATTTTGCAGGAGATCTGTATAAAAGGAAATCTATTACTGGTTATGTGTTTACACTTGCTGGAGGAACAGTAAGCTGGTTATCTAAGTTGCAGACTGTTGTGGCTTTGTCTACTACAGAAGCTGAATACATGGCAACTACTGAGGCATGCAAGGGAGCAATCTGGATTTAAAGGCTATTGGAGGAACTTGGGCACAAACAGCAGACTATTACTGTGTATTGTGACAGTCAAAGTGCTTTGCATATTGCAAAGAATCCATCTTTTCATTCCAGAACAAAGCACATAGGTATACAATACCACTTTGTTCGTGAAGTAGTAGAGGAAGGTAGAGTGAATATGCAAAAGATTCACACCAAAGACAACATAGCAGACATAATGACAAAGCCAGTGAACAATGACAAGTTTACATGGTGTCGATTCTTGTATGGCCTATTAGGAATATAAGCAACATGTAATTGTAATATATATATTAGTAATGTGTGTGAAGATATGATTAGCTTAATCATAATCTTCAAGTGGGAGAATTGTTAGTCCCACATCGGTGGGAGTTTCAATTGAGAAGACCCCTCTTCCTTATAAATATAGGCTTATGGTCCCCTTAACATATCATTCCAAAATCTCCTCTCTCTCTCTCATCTTTGTATTACACTGAGATCTTGTACTCGGTAGTAATAGTCTCCTATTTTGAGGAGTAAATTTTAGAGTGAGGAGTAGTGTAATTTTTTTTTTGTGATAATTTTATATTGTCTTTATTGACTCTTATTTTTCATCTCTTATTTTAGTTGTGTGTTATTATACTGGTACTCTGGTCATAACATAACAAATTCCTCCACTGATCAATGCACGCAAGCGTTGGATGTAAGTAACCGAGTATATAACATCAACGAAGCCTTATCTCACGAGGCAAAATCTACTACATAGATCATATGACGTTGTTAAGCATAATAAAAAACGTAAGCATCGGAGTATGCAGTGTATAATTGAAATCACCCAACGGTATGTGCATAATCAAAACGTGTAAGTATGAAACATGCTAACAATTAAACCAGAATGTGGTATGCTATATGGCTATGACCGCTATGTGCATATCAAATTGATGCAGCATACCTCTATAGCTGTCATGATTTAGAAATAACTTTTATTTTTAAAAAGCTTTTCTCATTTAACTTGTAGTTCATGCCAAGGTGAGTTAGTTATTCAGGCCTTGTTCTTGTTTGAGTGAACTTGTGGACATGTCTTTACAAGCGAAGAAAAATAATATAAAAAATAAATAATTTTTTTTATAAGTTAAAAATAGCTTATATATTTAAATTTTAGAGAAATTAAATGAGAATAGTTTATAAAAAATAGAAAAGTATAAATTAATTTTAACTTGTAGAGAAATTCTATTGACCTTTTAAATTATTTTTCTCCTTTTTCAAAGACTTGTCCACAGACTTGTTCAAAAGAGTTAGTATGTCATAGCCGTTAGTTATATTTAAAAATAAATTGACGGGTGAGATCTTTTATCTTTATTAATAATATCAATTTTTATAAATTTATTATTTAACCTTCTTGAAATATGAAAGAATGATTTGTTGAACATATGGAGTTGTTATATTAGATATAATTGCATAGATAGAGCGTTTAATGTCTTTGTATAAAGTTATTGATTTTAAAAATTAATTTTTTTTTAAGTGCACTCTCTCTTTATTTTAATTGATCGTGAAAATGATTCACCTCCCGTGAAAGCACACATGCTTCGAGTAGCACAGTAAATGGTAAAGCAAAACATCCAAACGCTTTGCAAATTAAAAGTAAATAAATTCAAACTTCAACCCTTGAAATAATTGAATATTAGAGAGAAATGGGAAAATGCTTTTAAGCATGTGAAACCATCGAGTTAATCTTCATCAGGTTCAACCACTGATGCCAGCAACAAAAAGGGATAGTAGGAGATATATCTGACTACTGGGTTCCTTGATGATGAGGGAAACCAAAGGAGAATGTACAACAGCAACAACAAGAAAATGAATAGCAAACCTAAGACTAAGGAAGAAGTGGCTAGCCAACTGAGATCACTAATAACCAAGTGCACAGCAGCCAAAAATGCTAGACACAGTGTTGCAACAGTGATTCCCAGAAGAGTACTTGCCACTTTAAGGGCAAGAAGTGCCAAAGTTATATCTCCAAGTTGGGCCCAAATGAGTATGATAGTAACAATGAAGGCACCATACATTGACACTGTATTGCAAAAGATGAATAATTTGAACCATATGCGATTTAGCATTAGAGCCATGCCTTGTCCTGGATCAGAGCTATTAGTTCCACCGGGCACAGTCGCAGAAAATGCTGTCGTAACTATAAGGGTTGAAACCAACATAAGAGTGTTAATTCTGTCCTTGTATGGTTCCATGCTTCTGGAATCGTTGTTGCATTTTCGCATGTTCTTTTCACCTGGCGGAGGGATCTTAATGGGTGATGATAATATTGAGTTCTTGGACTGCATGCCAGCAGACATTAAAGCTGACCGTGTTAGTTGCTGCAAATGCATACACGTGTGTTAAAAACACATAAAATAAACAATAATAAAGGCCATGTTAACGAGTGCCCATGCCATTGCTCAAAGAATTAAAGATAAAAGATTTTTATTAAAAATCATGTTAAATTGCATTAAAAATTATGTACTGCAAGAAAGAAATGTTACTTGCCTGTCGAAAGGATGGATTTGGAGATGGCTTAAAGGCAGCGAGTGCTGTTTGATATCTTTTATTAACTAAATTGAGATTCACCCTTTTATCCCATGTTAAGGCATGCACAATTTTTGAAAGGCAGTGCAGAGTAGCCAAGTGCAAGGGAGTGTTCCCATTCGCATCCTGTCCATTTATCATATTTGAAACCTCTGTGTCAGTGGATTGTAAGATGTGTCTTACCATTCTAAACTTTCCACCTTCAACTGCGAGATGAAGAATATTCCGGCCATCCTTGTCAAGCGTCTCCGTAGGTTCTAGGGAGTATTCTTGTTTCAACAATTGCTGGACTACTTCAACGTGGGCAGCATAAGAAGCCAAATGCAGTGGGAAAAATCCATCTTTATCCCTCTCCATAGAACATGAAGTGTTGGATATTTTATGAGTGGACTAACATAAATTAATTTATGCTGTAAATTTTGTTTAAATCTAAATTAATTAGATGTCAAAATTATTAAGCTCATATTATAAATAATTATTGTTATTAAGCTTATCAGCAGATATGGTTGTATTGGTTGTATGGTTATTATTATTAGGTTAAACCATAGTAGGTAGGTTTGATCCATTTGATTATTAACTAGAGAGGCCCCTACTCCTAACCACTTTAGAGTAACTGTTGTTTCATTGAAAACAGCTTACGTGAAAGATCTGAAAGGGTGATAGGAGGAGTTTTCTCTTTGTGTGTCTCTTTTATCAATCATAAAAAGCACCCAGTCATGGACTCATCAACTTCAACTGTTTCGAATAACTCTAATACTGATCTCAGTATTTCTTTATCACTTGTCATATTAAGAATTAGATTATAATTTTTGCTTCATGAAGCACAATTCTTTAACAAACAATCAACTCCTTTTTCATAACCTACTGATGCTGCATAATGAAGAGCAGTCCTTCCTTCTGTATCCCGTGGATGAATCCAGTTTGGCATTTTGTTCAAGATAATATTTAAAAGATCTGTCATATTTTACAAATAATAACCGGTTAAGAATATGCCTTAATTTAATATGAATTTACAAACAAATTATGTTGCTGGTGGAAATGAGAAAATATTTACATCAATATACTGCTAAAAAAATCATTTACAAACAGTCTGTCATCATTGGTATAATTTATAGACAGAAAAATTTGTCTATAATTTATAAACAGAAAAATCTATCTGTATTACAGACAGAAAAATTCATCTGTAATTCATTTATGAAATTTCAAAAAAATTGATTCATTTTTTTATAAACATAATAAAAACTACAAAATTATATAATTAAAATTAAAAATTATTTATAAAATGTCAAATTAAAATTTCATTACAAAGGAAGAAGTAAACATCTAGAAAAATTTTGGCAGAATTTCTCCTAATATATGAATATTTTCCTATATTTATTTACACTTAATACAACAAATTTCTAATGTAAATTTTGGTAGAATCTCAAATACTTTCTTATATTTGTTTACACTTAATACAATAAATTTCTAATGTAAATTTTAGCAGAATCTCCTCTAATATATGAATATTTTCCTATATTTGTTTACACTTAATATAATAAATTTCTAATGTAAATTTTGGCAGAATCTCCCATAATATATGGATATTTTCCTATATTTGTTTACAAGTACTTAATTCAAAAATCTAAATTTTCTTTATATATAATCTATATATTATGTAATAATCTATTAATCAATGCATCAAAAGCATACACATTACAATCATAAATCGTTCTAGAACACATTCCCTTATAACTCCACAACATGCATATTCTACAATCTCCGTAAACACAAACAATCCAACAGCACACAATAATCAGGTTCGAAGAAGGACCTCTACACCCTTCCCCTAGTCATACAATCTTCAATCCTACAACTCTATCTTAGAAATTTTAAGTCTCTAAAATATATCAAAAATAAAAAAACTAAACCGATTAAAAGTTAGAGTATCATACCAGAAACACAATGATGCAAATTATCTTTCAAATGGGTGCTTCAATCACTCGCAAAGGCCAAAAAACTGAAGCTTCTTGAGAGAGATAGAGAAAGGAGTGAGAGATTTATGAAAAATGAGAAAGTGGAAGGAGGAGGCGCGAATTTATGGGTTTCAGACATTACAGACAGAAAAATTTGTCTGTAAATAGTTTAATGAAACGGTTTTAAAGATTCAGTTACAGACGAATTTTTTTATAAATTCGTCAAGTCTATTTACAGACGAAAAAATCCGTTTGTAAATTACCACATGAAAAGTCTGTTAAAAGGGGCAATATTTACATACGAAAAAATTCGTCTGTAACTTTCGCTCCAAATTTTTCTCCCTTTTTCAAATTACAGACAAAAAAATCTATCTGTAATTCCTGTCTATATTATTTCACGCCAAATAGCAGGTAAACTACAGACAAATATTACAGACAGATTTTTATCCATCTGTATTACAGACAAATTTGTAGATAGATTTTTCAGAAATTTTAAAAAAAAAAAATCAAAAATTCATCTGTAATATATACGGATAAAAAATCATATGTAATCAGCGCTTTTCTAGTAGTGTTTGATTTTTCAAATTATTAATACATGTATGAATCAAACTCTGAAGGACGAGAAGATGTCCACACCAATGCACTATGTTAGAGAATAAAGTGCAGAATATAACTTCACTTTTAAAACTGAAGTTCTAAAATACTCTAATTAATATAAGACAATTTAAAATTCAAATAAAAATCAACCAAGGTATGGTAAATAGAATGTCAATATTTTCAAACGGTTTTTCGGACTAGTATATAATACAGAAACAGTAATAAAAGCAAATAATAAACTCAGATACAAGAATATTAAAAATTAAAATATTGTGGGTGTACTAAGACTAAGAATACAAACACACAGCGTTCAAACAGATTATATAACCTACAAGAAAAAACAAAACACGCAGATATTGAAACAAACTTCAGAGCCTTGTGCATATATACCTAAAGAATGAAGCAGAGGTAATTGTGTATAACTAAGAGTGTTTGTCCATATATATATATATATAGACACACACGCATGAACACAACCGTGAAATCAAAATTCAAAGTCATATTTGTTTAGAAATATAAAAGGAAAGAAATTACTTACATATTTAGAAATAAAACTACAATAATTAATAATTCATTTAATAAATTATTAGTTATAGTAATTCATTTAATAATTTTTTGAATGATAATAATTAATAATTCATTTAAAAAATTATTAATTATTATGATTCATTGAATAAATTTTTGAATTATAATAATTAATAATTCATTTCAAAGTTGATAGTTATAGTAATTCATTTAATAATTTGCTGAATTATAATAATTAATAATTCATTTAACAAGTAGCTAACTATAAAAATTCATTTAATAATTTTTTGAATTATAATAATTAATATTTCATTTAAAAAGTTAATAGTTATAGTAATTCATTTAATAATTTTCTGAATCATAATAATTCATAATTCATTTAAAAAATCATTAATTATTATGATTCATTTAATAAATTTTTGAATTATAATAATTAATAATTCATTCAACAAGTTGCTAACTATAAAAATTCATTTAATGATTTTTTTAATTATAATAATTAATAATTCATTTAAAAAGTTAATAGTTATAGTAATTCGTTTAATAATTTGCTGAATCATAATAATTAATAATTCATTTAAAAAATTATTAATTATTATGATTCATTTAATAAATTTTTGAATTATAATAATTCAATTAAAATTTTATTAACTATAACCATTCATTTAACAATTTTTTGAATTATAATAATTAATAATTCATATAAAAATTATTAGTTATAGTAATTCATTTAATAATTTACTGAATTATAATAATTAATAATTCATTTAAAAAACTATGCATTGTGTATGCTGTTCGTTACAATGTAAAATTCCTTTAAAAAAAATTGAATGCTCACATAAAAATATTGAAATAAATAAGAATTTCAAGGAGCACATTAACAAATTCAAGAGAGAGTTTTATAAAAAAAAGCACTTAACAAAATACACCAAAATGCACAAAATGATATAGAAATTGTGCAAAAAATTTACAAAATAATTTTTTTTAGATGGATGACACAAAAACAACATAATGTAGAGTGAAATAAATAATGACCCAAAAACTTGCAAAATTTGTATTTAAATGAGGCAATAATGGATATCCAGAATTTTTAAATTCTATATAAAAGAAAGACTGTATAAACATAGAAAAAAATGCACAATACCAACGATTGGGACACTAAGCAAAACAGAATAATAGCAGAAAATTGCAAACAAAAAGATAATGCAGATACAACATCACTGTTAAAATGATTTTCAAGAAATTACAGTGAATAACAATCAGAAGAGCATGCAATAATTTTCAACACATTGTAGCACACCCAAGGAACATTTGTTAAAGGGAAAAACTTTTGTGCCCTATATTATACACAATAGACAACAAGCATAAAAATACAAATTATCACCCTTTTTATAACTTGGAAATGCACCCAGAATTTAAAATGAAACCAACGTGCCAGCAAAGACCATAAAGAACACCGGGATAAAGGAGAAACTAGGAGAATAAAATGCACAGCACATGCAAGAATGAAAAAGAAGAAGAGGGAAGGAAAGCGCACTGAAAACAGAGCAAGAAGTGCAGAAAGAATGTACCTTTTGAAAGCTCTAAACTTTTGATTTTAGGGTTTGGAAGAGATAATGGAAGCGCAGAGAGAAACCAGGGGTGGAGAGGGTTCAAAAGATACTAGTTTATGTGAGTGGGTGTGAAGACTGATGAGTAACATAGCCTTAAAATGGAAAATGCAGAGCCGTCGTGATTAACGGAATCTATTAATAGGGAAGAGGTGGTGTAGAGTCTGACGTTGATGAATGATTACTAACGGAATCTGTTTTACATTTTCCGTTAGTAATCATTATAATTGTAGGAGTAATATTGTAGTTTTGGTACAGAGTGGTAAGGTGGTGGACACTACAGCTGCTCAGGCTAGAGCAATACAAGAATTGTGAAAATATCCCCTTTTCAGGGGACAAGTCCGGGAAGGTAACAATTGATCCTTTTTCTCTTTGATATTTTAGAGAAAAATTTTCTTCAATCATGCCATTTTTTAGGAGCATAACACCATTTTGACTTGTCTCTTCTCTGGATTGTAAAAATACTACAAAGGGATACTCATTTTATGACTTTAGGAAAAATTCAAGATCAGTAAAGTCAACTACTCTTCACTTTCAGGTAACCTCTCTCTACTTGGGTTTCTGTCATGTTTCAAATTTAAGTGTACACTAAGACATTTTGCTGCATATTGGTTCTGCTTATTCTAGTAATAAATAAAAAGTTACAAACAGCTTAATAGTGCAAAAGAAATACCAAACCAAATGTTCAAACTTATAAGTGAAGTTTAGAAAGGGCTTTTATGAATTCCACACTCCCCTTCGACGAAGCCTCTTGGATTTGAAATGACAACAAAGCATGAGCTTTTGACAATGGGGTGTGCTTGACAACAACTCACTTGCGCTTTTTGTTCCCCTAGTTTCAAAATAGTTTCATTTTGGTTTCCCAAAGTTTCAATTTAAACAATGTAGAGCCTTTGTTCCTTCCAGACCTCAGAAAGGACACACAAGAAATCCCTTAAAAATCTTTGAACGGATTCAATATTAACAAAAAGAAAAAGGCAGATAGTCTACAATATAGGGTTTAGGGTGTGTGTAAAAGTACTTGATTACTGGTCTATAGATCACCAGAATATACAACACTGGCAATAGTAGAGAGAGCTTTGTGAGGTCTGCAAAGCTGCAATGTATGATTGATATTTTGTCAAAGTAGCATGATCTGTTCATAGGATGAAAATCTCGAGCAGTGATTGTGATGGTATGGCCTTTGAAAAGATAGGATCTTGCTGTTGTGGGGGTTGATTGGCATCTTTTATTTTTAAATGATTATGCAGTTGAGGAATTTGGTATGGGCAACA